GTCGATGGTGGCTCCCCAGGTGTGTTGGCTATTGCATAGGGCGCGGTGTATTTCAGCGATGATGCGGATTTGAGGGTATTGTGTGGGGTGAATGGCTGCGTTGGCTCTTCGGTAATTGATGACTAGACATACATCGTGGCCGTTGGAGTGTGGTTTTGGGATCCCCCACCCAGCTGAGAGGTATTTGCTTTCGCTAATTTCACGGATTTTTCCTTCTCCCTGGAGCCAGTTTAATAGGTCCCGGAGTGCCAGGATGTTCTCTAGTTTTGTGGGGATAGGGTGGTAGGGCCAGGGTTGAGGATTTTTTATTGAAGGTTGGTGGGTTTCTTGAGGGGAGAGGGCAACAGGTAATAAGTTGACTAGTGTGCATTGCAGTCCCATACAGCGAATGCAGGTGACTCCGAGTAGGCACTGGTTTCTGATGAGAGCTTTTAGCCAGTAAGAGATGCCTTGGTAGTAGGCTGTGAAATGGGCGACTGTTGCTTTTCTTTCTGCATTGGGTCATGTGGCACGGCTAACGTGATAATGCTGATTTGAGCTCTGGTATCTAGGAGGAAGGAAAAAGGATGCCCCGCAATCTGTAGCTGGATGAAGGGGCGAGTGTCTGATGCGTGGTTGGCCGCTCTGAAGGTGGCCCACGTTAGTTTTTTCGCTTCTCGTTGAACTTGAAGCCCTTAGCTTTTGCTAAGATTAGCTGTTCTTCCGAGCTGTTAATTTTCGGGCTTCAGCTTTCATTACGCCCTCTTAGCTGATTAAAAATCTGAATACAGCCCACTCTAGGGGGGTACGCTCGGGGTAGTGGGCTGGATGCGGTTGCTTCCACCCCGGCCCGGGATAAGGCGGGTCGCGTGGGCACGGGTATGGGGGTGAAGCCACTGCGATTTTTTTTCCTGTATTCAGACCTGGTGATGCGATGTTAGCCGGTAACTGGGGTAGTAGGTCGAGAAGGGTCGAGACATTGTTCCCTTCAGCTGTTTTTAGATTGTCTGTCCCGCCCGCCGCAGCGACCACCCCTTGGACAGCTATAGCCGTGACGGGTACGGTTGTGGGGTCTTGCAGGAACCTTTGTGGGTAACTGTCCGCGCGTTGCGCTGGTGTAAGGCCACAGGGGTTTTGTCAGACATCCCACATGACGTACGAAAAGCCAGCAACCATATTAATTAGGTCGGCTCCTGTAAAGGACCCGCTGGGGCGCTGGGTAAATGCCTGGAGGTTGGTGCCAGTTAACATGACGGCTAGTGCTGGTAGGGGGATGGGCCAGTAGTTGTTGTTGTTGACTAACACTGCTGATCCAGCCCCTCCATGCCACGTGATGGTGCGGCAAAGCATTTTGGCTTCTTCACTAATTAGTGTCTCCCCTCCCGCTTCAAAAAGTAAGCGGACTATCCAAGCAATGATAGGTTTGGTTGGCTGTCTTTTTGTCCTCTCAATCAGTTCGGTCACTTCGGCATGGGTGCGGGTACAGCAGGCTGTGGAAGCCGTCGTGTTCCCTTGATGATCGATGGTATACTTGGTGACTTGGACCAGGAGCGCCTTGGCGGTTGGTATACCTGGTGATGACGCAAGTGGAGGGGGTGCCGAAGAGGTTTCTGAGGCGTATGGCGGTGGGAACTCGGTTTTTTCATCTCAGACCTCTTGGCTTGGTGAGGGCGCGTTGGTGGAATCATCGAGTGCTTTCTGGAGCAGGGTCCGGACCAGCGTCTCTGACTCCTCCAGCCGTTGTGTGATGCGGAAAAAGTTTTGGAGGAGGGGTATGAGGAGCTTCTTCGGGTCATAGGATGTGGTGAGCTTTCACTCTGTACGGGAGGCGTAGAGGTCATCCGCCAGTTGGGCGGTAAGTTGGTGGGCTTGGCTGTGGGGCAATAGAGTTGGGGGGTTTGCCCGGTCAGGTGGTAAGGCCACCCCAGCCTTTTTGCAGAAGGTTAAACAGGCCTTTTGGGCTGATTTTTGGGCAGGCCTCCGTATCGAGGGGCTTCCGGACTCCTTTGAGGGAAGGGGAAAGGCTGTCCTCCGCTGGTCTGAATAAAGCCGTTGGTGTGGATCTAAGGACGCATCCCCACAACGGTGACGCCAGACGGGCCGACCATTGCTTCTGGCCATCCTTAAGATTACAAAGGCCCTCAATGGCGACCAGGGACGGGTCTGAGAGATCTGCGGCTTGATGGTAAGTCAGGTGACTCCACAAATCGTCATCAGTTAGGGCTGACCGACTGCCATCTAGCCAGGGGCACCCAGATCCTGTTCGTGACGCCATGTTGTTCACGAATGGCCTAATGGGCAGGGGTCCGTTAGGATGGGCCTGGCTAGGGGAGGGTGTTTCTTTAATATTACTTCTGCTAATTAGCCGATTAACTTAAACTTAACTTATTTTTATTAACTAGATTACTTGGTTATAGTTGACACATGTATGAATGCTTAAACAATTAACTATTAACTATGATATATAACAAAATTATGAAATGGGATTGAGTTAACTACTTACAATATACCATATTAACAAGACGACAGACATTCCAGTACGGGTGCCGCTGCAGTTGGACACAAAACGGCTCGGCTCGGTGCGTTAGCTCGAAGGGAGGCAAACTTGGGTTGATCAGGCCCTATTCCTTTTTGAAGCGCTTGGTTTCTGATGAGTGAGACTCCTCTGAATAAGGCTTGCGCTCACAGGTATTTATTAGGCTGTTTTGGCTCTGCCTATGCAGCAAATTATGGCCAATCACTAGCTTATTTTTGGCACCACCTATGCAGCAAATTGTGACCAGTCAGTAGCTTACCAGATGTCTTTTGGCGCGCTAATGTTGATTTGCATTTTGAGGTGGATGCAGACTGCTCGCAGTTTTTTATATTTCCCTCTCTGTGCCTGGGACTTCCCCTTTTTGAGGCCGTCGCTGACACTCAGAGCACACTTGGTGCTAGACAGGAATTGTTCTGACTGAAGTGGGCAGGCCATTTTAGCTCTGCGAGCTTGTATGTCCTACACTTACAAAAGACAAAAGGTGACCAAACTTGCCTGGGAATGTTGAGCCACAGTCATCATTGGGTCCCCAGCTCCCCCCCGTCACCTAAGGAGATGCAAGCAGTGTGGGTGCAGGAGTAGAGAGTATCAGGTTTGGTATGTTACTCCCAGTGAGCACTTCACTTCCCTCCCCCTCCTGGTACTCTCCAACATGCTAAAATCTTTCTCAAGATAAATGCTGTATGTGACACAAAGGTGCCTAGCTGGAAAACAAGAGGACTAGGGGCCTGCTTTCATGCTCAGATCTAGGTTTTCCAAAGAAGGTGAGTGCTTTGGGAGGCCTGACTTGAGACGCCTCAAGAAGGTCTGGTTATCCAAAAGTGCTGAGAGCTCACCCTCTGGAATCTCATCACCCTCCCCGTGTTTTGTGTGGGGCTGCAAACCTCCCTGGTACTAATCTGCCCTTGCCCTGGCATGTACATCAGCAGTGAATGTTCTGATGGTATTGCTAGGACTGTTGCAAACAGTTTGTCTTACCAGGAGGGAGAGGGGCACTGGATGGGATGCACAACTCACTCAGTGGGGGCAGAAGGAAAATCTTCCAGTGATGGTGGAGCTTTGAGTGCCCATACAGAGGCACTGCCTGGGCATTATGGAGGGTTAATAGGTGCCTTGTAACTTGGCATTGCTTTGTTTTTTGACATTTGTATCAGAAAGTTACTTCATTTTTATCATGGGTAGGCAGCCTTCGCCCCTTTGAAATGCTGTCCCTGTGCACATATGTGTGCATGTGTGTGCGTGCATAAAGTTATAGGCAGAGCTTCCAGTGGAAGAATAGTCCATGGGATCAGGTTCAGGCTGGAGACCTGGATTCAAGCCTTGCTGTGCCACAGGCTCCATGGGTAACCTTGGGCAAGGTACTTGGTCTCTGTGCCTCAGTGCCCCTCCCATAAAATGGAGATAATAGCATTGCTCCAAATACTTGAAGAGTGTGAGATTTCCAGCTACTACTGTAAGAGGGCAACAGAATCACCTTGCTTAGACAGTGGAGGTTGCCTGACTCCCCCTTTTCACTCACACAGTAGCTGACATTTTTCAGAGCCTGCCCCTGCACAATAGAGTTTGTAGTTTGTCTTGGCATCTTGCCATGCAGAGGCCCCAAGCACCTGGGCCCTATTTCTGACTCTGCCCTTGACTTTCTGTGGCACCTTGAGCAAGCCCCTCCTTCTCTGCACTTCAGTTTTCCCATCTGTGAAGTGGCGTGGGAGGAGAAGGCTGTCACAGACATCACATTTGTCAGATTTCATAAGTGAATGTTGCCCTGGATGAGAGGGCCTAGCCCTAGGGCATGGTGTGCTATACCACTACTTCCTCTTGAAAGGTTTGTATGGCTGGGCTGCCTCAGTAGGGCTCCCCAAGATCATTGGCTGTTGTTTGCTCAGTGCTGCTCTCAGTCTATGAGGGTCCAAACATGGGATGTAGCACAAGAGCCATTTGTCAGGAAAGGGAACGTGCACTGGGATTCAGGAGGAACTGCTGTCCCTACTGCCCCAGGTTCCTGACTCTCCTTTACTGCTGTCAGCCATTTTCAACAAGAAGAGCAAAGGGTTGCAGAGAGAACACTGGGAGCAAATGTGAACGAGGGCTGCCAGGACGAAGGGCAGCTGCAAGCAAGTCAGGTAGCAGTGGTCTCTGACTGGAGCAGAGCCCATAGCCTGAGACGAATGACGAGTGATGGCATGGCTAAGAAACTTAGAGCACAAAGCCCCCTATATCTCTCCACTCCTGTCCAGGGCAGGTGTGGTGATGGTGCAGGATCACTGCAGTAGGTTAGGTGATCTTTGCTGAGCCCAGGCCCAAGGCTTTCCCCTGACTGAGGAAATGCTATGCAGATTGGGTTGTAAAACACAGGAGCCTGCTCTCCCAGGGAGCGCTGACCCCATGTGAGGGTGCCTGTTCCTTCCCCAAGCTGTGCGCCTAGCTATCTGGCAGCAGTTGTGAATTCCTTCATCTCATAGTTGGTCTCTCCTTATTTGTCCTGCAGGAGTATCTGGATGTGCTGGGGAGACCCATGGTCCTGGCAGGAAATAAGGCCAAGCAGGTTCAATGGACCAATGTTTATCAGGATGCTCTGGTAAGGAGAACTGAGCTAAGCACTATCCCAAGATGCCTGTCTCTCCCACAGTGCCCCTGCTGGTGAAACTTGCTTGCAGAGCAATACTGCTTACTTTGTAATTACTTAATGTACATTCAATTTAATTTTTCAGTAAGGAGGAACGTAGTGAGTTTAATAATCCTTTCAACACCCACAGTCAGGAAGATGGACTATCCCTTTGGGAGGGTTGTGGGAGCCTGTGTACCTGCTGTCAGGTCTTAAAGTCCCCATAACCCATTCAGGCAGGCTGCAGAAATGTCAAAGTTGATAGCCACTGGGCTGGTATTGGAAAGACAATGCTATTACTCCTGAGATCCAGCCTCAAAGCCCCAGGGTGAGGTGTGGCTAGGGAAGTCATCCTGAGCTAAGCTACAGTAGTAGGGCTGAAGCTGCCCAGTAGGACCTAAGACCTCAGTATTGTGACTCTCCAACCCCATTCTGCTGGCCCCAGCCCCAGCACAAGATAAACACCCAGCTTAGTCCAGGAATACAAGAGAGAAGGGCAGTGAAGTGTCCGAGAGAGATCAGCATGTCTGACAGCTTGAAGCTCTAATTTTCTTTTGTTCTGGTCTCTGTCCAGGGGCTGGGTTTGGTGGTGACTGGCACTCTGCCAGTATTCAACCTCACAGAGGACAGCAGCAGCAACAGAAAGGTACAAAACATTATCATCTTTCATCCCATTTCAAGGGCCTGATTCTACACTACCTTACACCTTTGTAAATCAGGAGGAACTTCACTGAGGCCATTACACTCCTGATAGGAGCAGAGACCCCCCAGGCTCAGTGTGTACAACACAACTTTACATTGCGTATCCCAGTTTGAAAACCACTGTTCTAGATGACTTCTCCAGTAGATTTGTCACCTGGCAAGACTAGATATGGTGTGCTACATGCACTGGAATGTGAGTAAGAGCTTGTTCCCTTGTGTTTGCTTTGCTCCTCTATGGTAGAAGTGTGGCCTTGAGATTAGGGGGCTTGGCTGGCACTTATAAGAACTGGATTTACATCCTGGCTTTGCTTTGTGGAGTAGATCACTTCCCCTCTTGTGTGCCTCAGCTTACCCTCTGCAGAATGGGTTCATTGCTTTACTTTCTCCTGGTGGCCTAACCCACATACATTGCTATAGCAGCCTGGGCAGTCATGCAGCTCAGCTGATTGTGCCTAGGAGAGATTGGGTTTTTGCACTGCTTTCTCAGGGTGGTTTTCCAAGGAAAAGGAACCTCTCCCTGACTTTGCTTTCACAGAAGCTGTCTTTTCACAGGTGATTGCTTCAGTGGTTCATATGGTGGATTAAATTCTTATTTGTTCTCTGTCAGTTTTCTGACCCCTGCTGGTCCCTCAGTAGGTGGGGAGAAATGGGTCTTTCTGGGGAAGGTTTTAACATTGATCTCTTGTTACTGAAACTTCCACCCTTTCTCCCAAGCTAAGCAGACCTGAGAGGTAACTTCTGGGTCAGTAGCAGGATGGCAGATCCCCATTTTCCATGCTGGAGTTTGCTGTCTAATATACCCCCTTTTGGCTGAGATGTAGTACCCATGTCTTAACCCTTTAGAAATGCCACCATACTCTGTGGAAATGGAAAGTTGTTTGCCTTGTTCTTCTGGCCAGATTCCCATTCGGCCTCACTAATTTACCAGTTCCAATTAGATATGGTATTCTGCTGAACAGCTGCTGTATTTCTCCCTGGAGGGGATCGTATGCTTATAGCAAGATCCCTTTGTATTCTTACCTTGTGAAGGGGGAGTGTAAGAGGCTTAATTAATTATTGTTGATAAAACACTTTGTGATCTTTAGATCAAAGCAGCTGGGTAAGCGGATAGCATTGTCATGTGTGGAGGGATTCCTTTGATTTCTCCATCTACTCACTGCTTGGTGAGTTCTGGGAGAGGATATGCAGGGGTGCCTGATGATGCTAACTAGTACAGCTGAGGCAGTGGTGCCTTGTACCAGAAGCTGGAGAATATTGGTGCAATGTGATAGTTATTACCCTGTACCGAAACATCTCTGGTTATACTGTTGTGGCCAGCCAGCCTGCCTGAGGGTGAAATAAAGATTGATCTTCACATGTGGCTGCAAAGTAGCTCCAAGTAGGAGGTAGTATTTTTTCCCCACTCCCCAATTCCTTGCCCCTATGGGTTGAGTTCTTGTCACTGTTACCATGGGGTTTTCCCTTGTGAAGGTCTGTAGGGAGCAGGGGTGGCTTCCAGACAAAATTTAAAAGAGCCCTTAAAGCAAAGGAGCCTCTGCTTTATATAGGCATAGAGCTTGCTACTTGCTTAATTTTTAATCCCTAGGGCACTGAAGAAGAAAAGCAATAATAAAAATGTGAGCTGGTAAATGGAGTATGGGCTGGCTCTGCCCTTCCAAACCAACTGAAGATGGTGTGCTGGGGAAGCTAGAAGACATTGTGTTCACCCCAGTGGCTGGAGAACCCAAATGCATGTAAAGGAAAGCTACTGTGGAGGAATGGATGTTGAGAGGGAAAGCTTAAAGCCCTCTGCAGTGAGGGGCTGTGGGGCTTGTGGGAGGGAAGGGTGTAGAGAAGGATGCAGTAGCTCATAATCCTCTTTGGGGCCTGTTTGGAGATGAGGATTTTGGAGCAGGTGAGAAGAGCAGATGTTGGAGATTGCTAAACCAGTATTTACCTTCCCCCTCCCTTCTGGACTTCCTTGTCTGCACCTGCTGTTTCCCTGATCAGTACTGGATCACAGAATGAAAGCTGTGCAATAGATGTTGCTTTGCCAACCTGCCAGCACCTGATGGAGCTATCTGTGCAGGAGTGGCTTGGGACAGCCTGGTTTGGCAGCAAGCAGGAGTCCCAGCTGTAGTTTGTAACCAGGCTCTGAGGCATGCATCACTGATCCACAGGTCCTTGCTCACTTAGATAATACTTGAGCTATTCCTAGCAATGCCATGTCACCACACACAACCAAGGGCAGAATGTGGCCTGGGCAAGAACAGCCACTGGAAGAAGGGCCATGGTGACACAGGAAAAGGTAGGGAGGGAAAATAAAGCCTGCCTCTCCCAGTACATGGGACTCTGCCTGCTTGCCCTCAGCACACATGCAGGGGCAGGCACCTCCAGCCTTGCCCCCTCCAAGTTGAGGGGTATGAAGCAAAGAAACCCCCATTCAGAACAAGAGGATCCAAGTCCTGCCCTGCAGCCATGTTACAGGATGCAATGAGAAGTGTAAAGCCCTTGGCTTCTGGAAATTTGCCACAGTATAAATAGAACTGAGACAACAGTTCACAGGGCTCCAAGGGAGACATAGGACTCTAAAAGGGACCTGTGGGGGTGAATTCAGGCAGAGGCCAAGGGGCTACTCAGTTGGAACACAGAAGTGTGAGTAGAGGAGTAAGTTAGCATTGACCGACAAACCCTGGTGATGCCTAATTCCATTCCCCCACTTGCTGGGAATGGCCAGAGCATACTTAAGTGTGTGTTGCAGGTCCTTTCTCTGTGCTGTCTCATTCTCTTCTTACCCACCATATCTGGATGGATCACTGCTGCTGTGGAAGTCTGTGTGCTGCATTTGGGGTGGGGGTGCAGTTCTAAGGAACCAGTGAGCTGCTTCCCAGAGGGGCAAACAACCAGCAGTATATGTGTCAGGAAGCCAGGCTCTTGCCTTGCAGAGCATCTGACAGTTTGGTAGCTGCCATGATGGTACTGCACCAAAGAAGATAGCAGATGCAGTCATCAGGGTGTTGTGAAAGGAAACGCAGGAAAGCAGCACTTCTAGCAAGGGTAGAAGAAGAATTGAGTGTGTTCGAGTTGGAAATGTGCCTGGAACCAAAAGGTGGAACTCAGCCTGAGGAAATCAGGTCTGGATCCAAAATCTATCTGGCTTCTGTCTCTGTAATGGAGGAAATTGCAACTCTGGGTCTGGTCATCATACATTCCCCCCTATGTCCCTCTCCAGGGCTTGGGGAAGTTCATACATGGATCCAGCCTTCATATCTCAGACCACCTCCATAATGAGCACAAATCAAAGGCTGGGTCTGGATGTTGGGGTCCTGGTCCAGCTCTGACCCCAGGGAGCCAGCTGCATTAGCTTTTGTCCAATTCTTCCTTGTGTAGCATAATAGCTAAAATGCCACCTCCCCACCAAAGCCCAGGTGATCCTCTGGAGAACAATTAGAACAAGGGGCAGAAAACCCACAGACGGGACATTCTGTTTGCCTTTTATTATCGCAGTTGTCACCTTGGTTGAGAAGGCTGCCATCCAGTGTGCTTCTTCCAGGTAAGAAGGAGAGACCAGGCATGAATTAAGTGGTGGGGCTTGCATAGCTCAGCTACTGTTCTGGGGTGAAGTCCCAGCACAAGGACGGTGCTGGGGTTGGTAGTTTTGCACTGCAGCTTCTTTGATAAACAGCTTGAAAGTAAATGCCAAAGTGAGCCATGAAAACCTGAGTGAGCACTCTGCTCTTAATTAAGTGACCTGCCTTGATGAACTAGTAAGCAGGATTTACAGACCAATTCTGGCTTCAGCTAATGGTTTCTCTAATAAGAGTTTCATTTTCAGCATCTCTCCAAGGGCATTAAACACCCTTCCTTAAGGAGACCCTGTCAGTTTGACTTCCTGTTGTGTCCTGTCTTGTCGTCTTAGTTAATATGTGGGCTCCAAGTCACGGACAGCATCACTCTTTGCTGATCTCTTGTTTAAGAGGCTGTGGCATTCTCCATAAGTTTGTGGTTGTTATGCCTATATTTCATCACAACACATGTAATCTGCCTACACAAAATTTCTCTTGCAATTTAAATACAGTCTTTTTCTGCTGCTGTCCTTAGTGTTGCTGTGCATGAGTAAGAGTTGCTAAGTTCTACCCCAGAGCTGGCTGCATATTAGAGTTGTGGGGCAGGTGTTCACTCTGAATAATCTGCTGAAGCCATAAAACACTATGAGACCCTTCTGAGTAAAGGTGCCTTGAGATGGAAGATGAAGGGAGTATTTTCTGGGGGGAAATGATGAGAAAGAGGAAATAAACTACATTTCTGGATGAAAAGATGTTAGCATTTGGAATTGAGCATGTCTTGCTTTCCTCACTGAACCACAGAGGTCCCAGGCCCATCAGAGCACAGGCCCCTAAGATCCAGCCTGTCCTCTGTCCCTCCCTTGGCTCTGAGACTTGAAACCACATCTGTGGTTTTTCTAAGGTGCTATTGCTGTCTCAGCCTTGGAGGTTGATTCCCACCGTCCTTTGGGGGCTGGGTCCTTAGGCTCTGGGATCTAAGCAAAAGTATCTGTGGAAACGAAGCAGGCTCATTTGGCTGATCCACTGAACTGCCTCTGAATCCAGGGCACTAGTGTGCAGGAGAGAAGGAGGCTGGCAGGGAGGAGGGCATGTTTCTGACCATGAGGGACTCTTTTGCACACTTCAGGGGACTGGCGTGGCACCTATAACACTCACATTTCAGGCTAAGCCCAGGCTGGGTGCCCTGAACTCAAACCTCAGTCCTGCCCATAATGCCTTCCTGCCTTTGTTTCTCTCTTTCCAGAACCAGCTTATCCTGGGCGTGATGGGAATCGATGTGGCTCTGAATGACATCAAGAAGCTGACGCCACGTTACAATGTGCGTGGGAAAGCCAGCCCCGTTAAGAGAAATCCCTTAGAAACCATGCTGTCAGGCCATCCCCTGTGAACTGGCACAAGTGGCAACAAGAGGGGGAGAGAGGAGAAACAGCCATTTCTTTCCTTTCCCTTGATGTTGATGGAAGGGAAATGTGAGCCACAAAAACAGCTGAGCATGAAGCTCTCCCAGGCTCCCTTGTGCCTTTTTGCATCACTTGAACCACATCCTGACTGCTGGAAAGATGCTAGGAAGAATGGTTTCAGGCAGCTTGTGTTGTTAGAAAGCAGGGTGCCTTCTGAAGACTGCAAACCAGATCTCTAGCTGGGGCCCAGTAGCTTTGTCTGGGGGGTGTGGGGGAGAGAGAGAGAGAGAGAGAGAGAGAGAGAGAGTGTGTAAAACAGAGAGTGCACATGGATCTCTGACTGTTCATTATTCTCTACAACTGCAAACATCCCCTCACTACTGTGAGGCAGGATTGTTTATAACAAGTTAGAAAGTCAATAGTGCCTGGACATATGTGCACCAAACTCTCAAGCACTCAGCAGGGCAAGTTGGGAAGGCTACTCCAGTCAGATGGGGATGGATCCTTCCCAGGGTGGCAGGATAATGGGGCTGTCCTAGCCCCCATGTCAGGTCCATCAGTCCAGCCTGGGATTTCACCCTGACTCCCCCAGACAGAAAGTGTTATCTGACAAGCCTGTTGTAAGGGAGAAGGCAGATTCCTTCAACCATGGGGAAGACCCAGGACTGGGGTTTTGTGGCCCTGAAAAGGATCTCTGGGTGCCAACCCTTTGCAGAATAAGAATCAGAGCTGGATTTTCTTGTCTACCAAGTAAAAGTGGATGGGGTCAGCCCTGGAAGAGTGAGGAACAGACTGGGGTGATGCTGGTGGTGGTGGGGAAAAATTCTTCATCTATTAGTAATAGACCCAGAAGAGGTGAGGGCTGGGCTTGGATCAGCCACACAGGGCATTGCCCTGGGGCTGTGACTGTATAGAAGCCATGGCCCCTCTTTTCTGAGCTCTGCAATGTTTTTCCTTCCGTGCTGTAACTCTTCTCTGTGTTTCCTTACAGTTAGGGGCAAATGGCTATGTCTTTGCCATCGACTTGAATGGATATGTCCTGCTGCACCCCAACCTGCAACCCCAGGTAGGAGCAGGGGTTTTTCTTCCCACCGTTGCCAGCCAAGCATGGAACAGACTCCAGCTCCCACCAGCTGAGAATCTGGCTCATGGCTTTTAGAGCTAGTGGGATGGACACAGGAGAGGGGTCATGGGAGAGGACAAGTTGGGATGGGGAACATGTGAAATACTCAGCAGTCCTGGCCAGGGAAGCCACTCAGTGAAGGGCTGTGCCTGGGATAACCATCCCAGTCCCAACAGTCATTTTCCAGCAGTCCCATTGGATAGGTAGTCTAATCTGTTTCATCAAACAGTGGGGATCCCCAATAAAATTGTGATTAGAGGTATTTATACTCACAGTTAACATTTCCTGTGCCCCACCCAAGCTTGCCCATGGGGTCTCATGTAGTTCAAGTACAGCCACAGTAAATCCAACTTCCCATGAGCATAGTTCCTCTGGGATCCCTTGATGTAACAGGGAACCCTTGCCCTGTTACTGGAAAGTGGCCTGCCCCCTTTAAAAGCAGGGTGTTTGTAGCACAGCCAGGCAGCAGAGTGGGGGCTAAGGAAAGCCTTGTGGTCAAGTCAGCTGACAGGGGAGGCACATGACCAGAAAGGGGTAGGGCTTTAGTAGTATATAAGCCAGAATTAGAGCTAGAGCAGGAGTTAGACCTGGGTAGCAGCAGGGTAAGGAGCCCTTGCTATGAGATGGGTGCTACTGGTGACTGCCTGGCAGGGAGCTTCGGGAGTGCATCTGGAGGGACCTGATTCAGGGTCTGGAAGAAGTGTAGTAGGCAGCTAGTATTTTGGGTGGGGCTAGAAATGAGTAACTTGCAGGTCCTGTTAGTGCCTAAGTGACACATGATTGCCTTGAGCCCTTCTGGTGGTCAAGTTCAAGGCACAGACATGGGCCAGGGAGGCCCAGAGCCTGAGGAGGGGCAGAGCTTGGGGCCAGAGGGCCCAGAACCTGAGAAAGAGCTAAGCTAAAGGCCCTGGAGGGTGAAACAAGGAGCTGGAGCCCAGAAGCCAGTCTTGAAATGCTTTGCCTTCGCTAAGGGACCAGTTAGAGTAGAGGGGCAGAAGTCAGGAAGGTCAGAGCTCCAACAAGGGAGTAAAGGCCCAATGTGGCCCGGTGGCTTTGGGGACAAGTGTCCCACTGGGTTTGGGACATCTTTGAGGCATGGGCGTGACTATGGTGGCAGCTGGAGGTCACAATTTAAGCCCTCAAGGCAAGCAGTCTGAACGGTCAACTGTTGAGGAAGGGGGAGAACCTTAGACTTGTCATTCTCTGAGGGCAGCCTCCCTTTCATTAAGTTTCCATCAGGATGTGGTAGGCGAAAAAGCAAGACGGGACCTTGAGAGACAGGGGAGAGAGAGAGAGAGCCTGGCAGGGATGAGGCAGTTTTAAGGGGGCATCACAACGGTTCTCAGTTGCCTGACCTGTTGCCCCTGGGTTATACTGCACTGCAGGCCCCAGTGTCATGAAGAGACCTACTTGTAGTCCTGTGGCAGGTCAGTATCTGAGCAAACCAGGAATTTGGATTTCCAGTGCCCCCACCCTGGCAGGTAGATTGCCCTGGTTAGCCAGGGAGGTTGGGCAAAGCAGGTGAGTGGCAATGGCTTCCTGTGCTCTGCTGGTGCCACCTTCTAGATACTGTACTCAGGAGCTAGGCAGCTAGATTGCTATCTGTTGATGGCAGTGAATGCATGTGCCCCCCAGGGCATATGTGAGCATGAGGGTGTTCCTGTCTGCAAAGGCTAGGATGGTAGCAGTATGTTTTCCCTCATTTCTCTGCCTTTCCCCTCTGCCTATGCATTCCCACACTCCTCATGATTGCATCTGCACAGCTCTGCCACTCAAACATGGAGATAAAGGCTGATCCAGGGGACATGCTCTCCAGCCAAGCTAGAATGAATTTACTCCCCAGTTAATTATTCCTCGCTCCTAAAGCCACTGCTAGCATTCAGCGCTGAGTCTGTCACGTGCCGGACGTTAATTGCCTCATCTCTGGGCAGTGATGTATGTGTCCCTGGTCCCCTCCTGACAGGAACGCAGAGGCGTTAGCCAAACCCCTTTATGAAATATGACTTCCTGGGGATATTAAGCCAGAAGACGTGAGCGGGATCATTTATCTTTGGGAGTTGCCACAGTCACCATAGGGTGGGGCGGGGGAAACAGGCTCCCCACTTCAGAACTAATCAGAGAGATTCATCATTAAGAGGCAAGCTGGGAATTAGGCTCTGAGAAATGGCAGTGATCAAGGTGAAATATGTTCCATTGGCAGAAACGTCTCGCTCAGTTCATCAGTGTTATTAATAGGCAGCTGATAAGTGGCAGAGATGGACAAGCGGCATGGTGGAATTTATTCACTCACTTCTGTCCCATTCCACTCAGCAGGGCTGTAAGGTGCATTCAGCCCTTTGCATTCATGTGCCACTTGGTTTGAATTGTGTCTTCCTGTCTCTGCTCAACACCGTGAGCAACAGACTGGGGTGTTTGGTCTCACCAGGGTGTTTGGCTTGGGTCTGGCAAGCTGCAGGATTCTCCCATTTTCTGAGATGGACCAAAGTGCAGCGTGGAAATGGCATTATCATGTGTCTGGGGAAGACTGGATCTGGACCCAAAGCTTCTGGGTCTAGAAGGGGCCAGGACCACCACCCCCGGTGTGAGTGAATGCCCCTGAACTGTAGGGAATATTTTGAGTTGGAGCCAGGTGTCATAAATATAGTGCTGAAAGGAAAAGATTTTGCCCCAGTAGAAGTCTATTTTATCATGTCTGGATCTCTCTGCCTGCACAAACACTCAGAGAAATATGGTACCTGCTCTCATGCCCAACCTAGTGCCATCTACAGGGCAGCTGGCTATTTCATGGGATGGGTGCATGCATGTGTGTGGTGCCATGGAGGCCTGATAGCAGGAATCCTTGGTGTGCCTGGACAGAAACTCAGAAAGTTGTCACCCAAGCAAATGCCTTCTGCCAAAAGAGCCTCAGACCCATGGCTTCGTTGTGAGGGGCTCAGGTTCCAGAGCTGCTTCCTCTGATTCTTCTCTCCTCAAAGTGTGTGCACAAGTTCCCAGGTTGCCCGAGGGCCTAGCTGGAGCTGCAAGTCTCCAGTTCTCCTTTATCACTTCACCTGCAGGACCCCTTCCCTGTGCCCTGTCACACTGCAGCTGGCAAACAGTTCTGGGCTAAACTCCATAGGATCTAATGAGTCCAGATCAGGGAGAAAATCTGTCAGCCCGCATTCGGTTCCTGAAAGAGATTGGCGTGTGCCAGTGTCATAGCCAGGCCACTTGTGCTGGCCCTCCTGGGACATGCCTCTGCTGCTGACTTGCTCACAGAGTTGCTCTGTGGCAGTGTGGTATTACTGCCCCATGTCCCTCCCACCCATGCACTATTCCTAACCAAGCCATTTTTGTCTGTAGAAATAACTCAGCATCCCAGTGGGTGCATGTCCCCTGCCCTGTATCCTGACCCTCCTTTCCTCAGGGCCTGTTTCTGGAGCTGGATACAGGATCACAGAGATGACAGGCACACAGCTTTTGCTACAAGTAGCTTGCTCTTGAAACAGATGCATCGTGACCTTCTCAGTTCAGCCCCCAGCATTGAGGCCTTGCTGACCTGGGCAATGGGGTGACAGATGGTTCACACCATGAATCCTCTTGGTTAGCATTGGTCAGTTTTTGTCTGGCTTGGAAGGAAGCGCTGACCAGCAAACAAGATTGTGCCCTGGTCCCCTTGTTGTCAGCCCTTCAAGAACCAGCATGTAGTCAGAGCTCTTCTGAACCAGAACTGCATAGAAGGCCTTCATGCTTAAAAGTTTCTCCAGGATTTCAGTGACCAGTATTCCCTAGTTACAGAGAAAGCCTTTACCTTTGATCTGCAAGCTTGGTACACTTGCCCTGACACCTGAGTCAAGGTTGGCTTTTTCCATCTTGTGCATTGTCAGCAATAAAGGACCTGCAGGCAAAACTCTGGCCCCAGGAGCTCCTGTGAAGCCCTCACTGCCTTCAGCCCCTGTCCCCCATTTGTGCAGCCCTCATGAATTGGAATCCCCTAAAAAGGCAAGCAGGGCCAGACCTGTGTCTCCACTCTTAGCACTCACTGCTGGCATTGATCTAATCTGTATTACTATCAGGAGGAAAAAAGCTGTTAAAAGGCTCCCAGCTGCTGTCTCCCCCTCTGTAAAAATTAGGTGAGAACAAGCCCCCCTGCCCCTCCCAACTGTGGGGAGCACTGATGCATTAATGTCTCCACAGCCCGATGGGGTGTGATACTGGAGGTGCTGGGGAAGGCAAACAGCCACAGTTTTTACTGGCAAAAGCCTCTTGTAAGCTGCTGCCATCTAGGCCAATACCCACAGTGCCTCCAGGGCACTCACTGACCAATTCAGTTGCCTTACAGGGGCAGACACTACTCTGTGATGAATGGACAACCTCAGGCCTCTACTTGCAGGAAAGTTTGGGTGGGTTTGGCTGAACTCTGCCACCAGGACCTGGCTGAGGTAATTTATGTCCAACAACCTTGGATTCTCATCAGCCTCTTCCTCCCTTCATCTCTTCTTTAAGATTATCAATTTCCGAGAACCGGTAACACTGGATTTTCTGGATGCTGAGCTGGAGGATGAGTACAAGGAGGAGGTGAGCTATGCCCCTAGGGGAAGGGGCTCCTTGGTGCACCCAGACCAGCAATTGATGTTTCATAGGCAAAAGCAGCCTTAAAGGCTGATTCTTAGAGGTTTTGTATTGGTGAAGGGGCCTGTGGAGATGGAGCTGTCTTTGTCCAAGACAAGCACAGCAGGGGCAGCAGCAGGGCACACTTCGTGTAGGTTACCTCTGTTAGTATTGCCCTGCCCTGCCTTGGTGGGGCACTTTTACAGATGGAAGAGAAGTACAGTCCTTAACTGCTCTACTGACACCTGAGTAGGGAGTGGGGGATCAGGCCTGTGGGTTGGGCTTTCAGTACCCAGCAGAACAGGAAGTCTGCCCTCAGTCCCATGCAGAAAAGTGAAGTCAGGCCTCAGTGCTGACAACAATTTTGCATACTATAAATTGTTTCTTTTCCTCTCTTCACCTCAGGGCCATTCTTACCCCGGGCACACAGCCCATAAGCACCCGACCTTTTGTCCTTAGATCCCACAGCATCTCCCCAGGCCTGTCGTGTGCCCAGTTGTCTCTTCTGCCCTCTCTATTGCTTTTCTGACTGGGCATATTTGGCACCACCTCCCACTATATGCATAGAGCACTTAGCCAGGACATACTCGGCACTGAAAGGGTCTGTAACCCAGGGTTTGCTGTGAGCCACCCAGTCAGGGCATATGCTGTGTGCACTTGGCTCAGTTTCTCAAAGCATAGAATGGTGTTGTGTGTCAAGGCTCAGATTCCTCCCTTCCTGTTCCCTAGATCCGGAGAAGTATGATTGATGGAAATGAGGGGCAAAGATTCATCAAAACCGTAATCAAATCCCTGGATGAGGTAATGACTGGCTACAATCCATGAGGAGGTAGAGAAGGATGTGGATAAGGGGTGAAGGACAAGGGGCTGCTGTTATCCAGGGGTTAAATCATCATGATTTCAGGAAAACAGCCACAGCTCAGTGTTTCCCAAAGCACTCAGAGCCTGGAACAAGCAGCAGGTCTGCCACTGGGGCTCTGGCACTCCCCTGTCAGCAGTGCCTATTTCACTCAGAGTCCAGAGTCTGAACTCTGGCATTGGGGTCCTGATGCTCTCCTGTCTGTGGAGCCACAAGCAGCCCGGGTGTCCTTTCAGAATCTCCTCCTGAGTCCTGACTCTTGTCTTCTTTGGAATTCTAGAGATACATTGATGAAGTATTCAGGACCTATACCTGGGCCCCTATCAAAAGCACTAATTACAGGTAAGCAGTATGCAACTGGCTTGGGGGAGGGGAGGGTTAACTTCAGTCTCAAAATTTCAGGAGGAAAATGCAGCCAGACACTCACATTCCAGATGGGTGGCTGGAGACCCACTGAGGAAGCAGAGAAGTATCTTCTGGCTAAAGCACAGGGCTAGAAATCAGGAAGCCTCTTCTTCCAACTCACAGATAGCTTCAGGTGAGTCTTGCAGGCCTGATTTTCAGGCATAGCTGTCTGACTTATAGCTGCTCAACTACACATGCCCAACCAAAGTGAACTGATGTCCAGAAGTACAGGGCACTCATCAAACCTGGCACTTCAGAGAATCAGGCCACTGTCATTTTGGAGCCTGAACAAATATTTCAATGCTTATATACATTCCCAGTAAATACTGACATGATGCTCTGCTCAAAGGATCCAGTATGTATTGAAGCTCCTTTGTGCATAATGCTGTACAAATATAGAAAAAACAGTCCCTACTGTCTAAAAGCCCAGACACAGGGCAGGGGGATGGGGATTGAAACATAGGCCCATGGATTTATAAACATTGGCTTTCACCTCTTTGTGATTCAGCTGTCTGTATGTAAAATGGGATGAGACACCTGCCTCACTGAGATCTAATTCATTACTATTACAGGCTGTTCAGTTGGTAATCCACACTGCACAATCACTCATGAGCCTCAGTTTGATGGGGTCTCTGTTTTACAGGGCATTGCCCATAAACATGGGATTCTTCCTTAAAGAGCTTAGTTGGTATCTTTATGAGAACTATGACCCATGTACAGCTTTGATGTATTAGGGTAACACCCCTAGTTCAGGTTGCCCACTTGTGTCCATTCTAGCTTCTTGGTTTGAGCAAAAGTAATTCTGCTGATTTTAAGAATGAGGAAAATGGAAAATCCCCTTCTTTCTGGTTATAGACGTAACCCCCTTCCCAGTTAGAGAAAACATGCATCTTCCCAGTTATAAAATGCGTGCTTTCTCACAGATTACACCCCCCCAGATAAGACAAGCCCCATGTTCTGGGAAGGCAGGATGGAGCAGCCAGCAAAGTTTGCTCATCATCAGTATTGCTCACTCGGCCCTTGCAAGCTCCACAGCTCACGTTTAACCCTGTCACAACCACTGCCAAATTAGCATCAACTTTTGCTTGCTCAGTTCAGCCAAAAGCTGCTGTCAACTTGGCAGTGGTTGTGTCAAGTTAAAGTCTGAGCTGCAGAGTTTGCAAGGAGAGTCAGTGACCTGAGAAGCAGACACTGCCCTTCCTTCATGTGAACCAGAAGGGAAGAGAAAGCAGCACAGCTGCCAGAAGCCATTATAACACCAGCATGCCTCCATTCCAGCACAGAAATCATCTTTGCTCAAGATGTGCACCCCAGTTCTGGATGGCTAGTTTTTGGGGTAAAGGTGTGTGCAGTGTGCAAGTAAATACATTTACCAAAGTAAATGCAGTTGCCTTGTGCGTTGCCCAGTGATGATCAGTTCTGGTGTAACCAAGTTGTCTCTGAAAATCACACTATGTAGTTTACCTGAGTTCTTCCAGTAAGTGTGCTAAGGGAACAGCAGAGGGAAGCCCCATTTGGCATGTGGAACTGCCTTAGCTGTGTACTGCACCTGTGTGGATTGAGGCAAGAGCTGTACTAAAGCGAAAACCCCTTCTCCAGCTGGGCCTCTCCTTCAAAGGGCTCTTTTCAGTGGACATTTTCAGGTATATGGGCCATACCATTTTGCTACCATCCAGTCCATGGGTTCCCCAAATATGGTCTCATCTCATTGGAGCCCTGGCCACAGGGTTCTACTCAGTCATGAATGGGGAGGTAGGCTGCAACACCCTCTTTCTGAATCCCACTGCAAGCTCCCTCTTCTTCAGCTCATTAAGCATAAGTGAGTTTTTTGCATTCAAATTCTTTTATGGCCTAATCTCACCCTACCCATCACTTCTGGTTCAAGATCAGGATGCTGACTCCCACCTTCTGTCAGCCCCTGTTGCCTGCCCCCACCATCCTATGTTGAATTTTCAAATGAGCATTTTCATTCTTTCTCTCATCTTGACCATGGAATGGAAGGAGCTTCCTGTAAACAGCCCCAAAATCACATCTCCGTTCTCTAGATCATTAAAACCCCCCTTTGCCATGATGCCTACAGAACACTAAACAGTGGTTAGGTTGTCAGTGTGCTAAAACCACTGCCCAATCACACTGGCCAGTATTTTTCATGGACTCCTGCTACTGTCTGCATTCAACTGTTGTCTTTTGTCTTATGCTTTGATTGTAAGCTCTTTGTCACAGGGTACTTGCACCACACTTAGCACAGTCAGATCCCCATTCATGACTAGGACTTGTAGGCACTACAGTAATAATAATAGTTGCTGTGCAGAAGACATTCTCTATCTTTAAAAAGTAATTCATGCTGTATCAAGGCTTTAAAACATATGGCCTGTGTAGATTGTTCTGGGTTGCAGAGTGTCTTTCTTTTTAAAATAAATAGATACACACTAGGAAACATCACAGAAAAATGTCTTTAAGACATTATCATGGTTGCACAATTAAGAACTGAAAGGTCAGGAAATGCCAAAGTCGAGACTGCACGTCCAACATGAGCTGTCTTCATGTGTGCGTAGCATTTATGAGTGTCTGATCACAACACTTGCAGTCTTTTAATCTAATACAAGATAGCTCAATAACGTTCTCTAATGGTGAGCCATGTAAGTTCTGAAGTGAATGAGGGAAGCTCCTCATGGCCATACGCATGGGTATTGTAGGAAAAAGTGGTCTTAAATATACTATTTGAAGAATATGATGTGATATAGTAGTTAGGGACTCTGAGGCAGGCAGCGTGAAGATTGTAGTGGGATCTGTGTTAACTTTGGCGTGTTCCTAGCATTCCAGCATGAACATTTGCTGAACGTTGTCCTTTTCCTTGATCACATCCTGGTGGAGACAGCCATATTCCCACCTAGTACCACATCTTTGTGGCTGTAATTGTATAGGAGAAAGGAAAATCAGGCTACCTGATGTCAGGTCCCAGAATTCAGTAGCAAGTAGCCCTCTGGCATCATGGTGGCACAGAACATTCAGCAGACAGTCTCCCCCTTTTAGGGGTGCCATTTTCCCAAAGCCATTGCTGCTGAAGTCAATGGGAGCAGCAAATGCTCAGATTAGAAAGCCAGCTGCCACTTCAGTTTTACAGTTTCTAGGGACCTCCATAGCTTTTGGGAACATAATCTGCCTTGGGGTAGGCTGCCATCTCATGGCTAGACAGGTTCATTGCACATATAGCTATTCCCTAGGGATTTCCAGGAGTCATAGGCATGATTCATATGTCTCCCTTGGTATTCATGACATCTCCTGAACTAGTGAAACCACACAGAGTCTCAGCTTCAAGGAGGGACAGCTTGAAGTCATCCATTCCAACAGGGAGGAATTGCCTGAGTATGTGGAGGTGGAAGGTAACTTGGGTTACAGTGGCCCTGAAATGGTAGCATTCAAAATTTTAAGGGGAAGAAGGATAGAGGACTGCAGAATAAGGACTTTGGACTTCAAGAAAGCAAACTTTAACAAACTCAGGGACCTGGTGAGCAGGATCCCTTGGGATGCAGGTCTGAGGCAAAAAGGAGTCCAGGAGAGCTGCCTGTACTTTAAGGAAGCTCTCTTAAGGGCACAAGAGCAAGCTATCCTAATGAGATGAAAGAATGGGAAATGCAATAGGAGACCAGCTTAGCTAAACAGTTATCTCTTCAAGGAGTTGAAACTCAAAAACGAATCCTATAAAAGGTGAATATTTGGTCATAGCACTAGGAAAGAATATTAGACTATCACATGGGCATGCAGGGAGAAAATCAGGAAGTCCAAGGCACAATTTGAGATGCAGCTGGGAAGGCAATCTCATCACAGATGATACAGAGAAGGCTGAAGTATTTAATGCCTTTTTTACTTCAGTTTTCACAAGTAGGTGCAGCTAGCAGCTAATGAGTATAGTTGGTAGCAGAGAGAGGGAAGGAGACAAACAACCTAGAGTAATAGCAGAACAGGTTAGGGATTACTTAGAGAAGTTAGATGCTTTCCACTCAGCAGAGCTGGATGGGATGCCCCTGAGAATTCTGAAGGAATTGACTGGGGTAGTTTCGCTAGCTATACTTTTTGCGAACTTGTGGAGGTTGGGTGAGGTCCCGGATGACTGGAAAAGAATAGATTTAGTGCCCCTCTTTAAAAAGGAGAAAGGAGATTCTGGAAACTATAGACTAGTCAGCCTGACCGCTATACCTGGAACGGTCATGAAGCAGGTCCTCAAGGAATCCACTGTGAAGCAGCTAGAGGAGAACAGTGTAATCATCAGGAACAGCCAGCATGGATTCACCAAGAGCAAGTCATGCCTGACCAATCTGGTTCCTTCTATGATAAAGTGACAGGTTCTGTGGATGAAGAGTAAGCAGTGGATGTGATATACCTTGAATTTAGCAAGACTTTGGACACTGTCTCCAACAACATCCTTATCAAGATAAGGAAATATAGACTAGATGAAAGTACTGTAAGGTGGATACATAACTGGTTGGATCATTGTATTCAGTGGGCATGTCCAGATGTGCATGGACATATGGTTCCCTGGAAACAGCTAGCAGCAGCGCACCTTGTGCCGCAGCTACTTGTCCCTGGGAAACGCCCGTGCCACGCACGCTATGGCGTGCAGCAAGTTACCCCAGAGGTGGTAAGGGAGGCTGGGGCCACCACTGTGCTGGCTCCAGCAGCCTTACTTGGGGTCCTGGGGCCTCCTGGGGCCGCATCTATGGCAATCTTGCCAGGCAGAGCCTGGCTGGCATTCACAGTGGAGATCCGGATGGCTTAGCTCCGCTGTTCAACAGTGTATGTTGCCTGAGCGTGCTCTGTTTTTTTTTTTGGTTTTTTTTTTTTTTTTGACCCCTAGAAAGCCAGGTGTCAGAAAACCCCTCGGGGGGGTGGGGGGAACAGCGCAGCTCACACTCAGGCAGCTTGCCCTTGTAGTGCGG